CATGAATCCATAAGGGTGTCCACCTCCTGTAGGCTACACTTGATTTCCAACTGAGAGCAGCTGACCTGTGAAATCAATGCTTGTGTATCCACTGTAGAAGTGTGTAGTGATCCTAAAAATGCAGCTCATCACCATTCAGGGCAGCGCGGAGATATGCTTGCAATGTATTATGGGGAGACAAGTAACAGAGGCTTCCACAGGTGTCTGCATTTGCATTGGTTACTATGAGATTATGAGTTAAAAAAAAAAAAAAAAAAACTCTGCATCAACTGGTGCTTTGTAATCACATTGTTTCCCTTTCCTTTGTTCCCAGCATGCCCTGCTTAAGTGCTCAGAGCACCAGTATCTGGCTCATACACTGCCCACACCATCATAATTAAAATGGAGAGGGATTATAAGCCCATGTGAAATGACACTCTGTTAGAGTTCAGACCGATGCCCTGCTCGTGTGTCGGAGAGTGAGAAACAAATCTACCTCTTACTCCTCCTCCTGCTCCTAATCACAAATATAATTTCAAGACACACTTCACTCAAAGGTCAGCTAATAATAAAATGTAATTTTGTGTGAGAGACTGAAAAAGAGCAGATTAATAACAGCGCTAAACCTCTGATAGATTGTGCTAGATTGAGATTATAGTGAGCTCTTTAAAACTCGTTCTTGAATAAAATGGAATTATTTGGGTTTTGCTAGTAATTTTAGAACAGATTGAGTGGACACCAAAGTATTGCCCACCCCTAATTATTATTAACAGCTGTTTATATTACGGTGGTGATTATTTTATTATTAATAATTGTTGATATTAGCTATTAATTAATGATTTATTTTTATTCTGTTATTGTTGTTGTTTTACTGTAAACAACTACTAATTGTTAATATTATGGTAATGATTATTATTTTTTATTATTATTAATTATCTTATTATTTAAAGATTATTTTATTCTATTATTATTATTAGCACCACTGATTATTGTCATTAAATTGGTTTTATCATCAATTTCTTGCAAATCCAAAGTAATTAGTCACATATTGTTTTCATTGAGATTTCAAATCACATGTGCCAGCCAAGCAACTGGCATTGAGATGAATGAGTATGCTAAAACTCTCTGTACTTTTTGCTTTGTCTGGGTATAATCAGTGGAGGGGGTAACAAATTACAACTACTCACGTTACTGTAAATAAGTAGTTTTTTCGGGTACTTGTACTTTTTTGAGTATATTTTTAAAGCTGTACTTTTACTTGTACTTAAGTACAAATTAAGCAAAATAATAAAATAAAATAATTGACTTCATTACTTTTAAATCATAGTTCGTTACTGAGTAAGACCCACAATTTGAATTGATATTCAAACCTTATTTGACGGCACTTCAGTAGCCAATAAAGATACCCGATCGTAAACGGACCAATAACAGCCCTGAAATCTGAACAGGGAAATCTGAACACTGCAGCAGGTTCTGAAGAGCTGATCAGACGGAGCTCAGCGTAATTTATGGACTCAAAGTTTGGAGAAACAAACTACATGGTAGTGTTATCATAAATATCTATATTTTGATACCGATACTGAAATATCTGACACGGTTCCACGCAATCACACGGTGCCATCATTCCCACGCAAATGTGGCGAGCGCTTTATTGTAACATGAGAACACAGTCATGTGCCATAATCACAGAAAACTGGATGCGAGCTCTCAAATAGGCCTAACTTGTACAAATGAGCTGCCCGTTCTCTCACTCCAATATTGCTTGTGCGCACTGTGTGCAATCGCGATCTCTCGGTGCTTTTAAAGTAGAAATTATTTCTCTTTGCTCCTGGATTAAACCTTGTTAAAAGTTATCAACCATTTAGAATAGATCCACGCCTGACCGATTAAAATCCTACTGGAAATTGTATTGGATGTAAGTGAAATGCACCAGAAAGTCTTTCAACAATAAAAGATGGAACTTTAATTTCTTTACCATGTAAATTTATGCTAGAAATGTTTTGGAATGGGATATTTGTCTGATTTGTACATATAAATATCCTAGTCTATCTAACTGCATCACTACATTGTGTACAGTCATTACAGGTCAAAGCCATCCGATGTTTTATTTATCTAAATAAATAGGCCTAACATAATGTATATGGCTCTTAAATCACTGCTTATAAAAATTAAGTGTTGTCATGTTTTGAACACTTCAAACAGAATTGAGGTCATTTGTTTTATAATTTTATTACTGACTGTGCACTTGTCTTTTTTTGTAAATTCAATTCAGGTTGAAATCAAGCTTCCTTGTGCTGTAAGCTTTTGCAACAAAGTTACCCTATTTTAAAGACACAAATACACAGAATGAGCAAATGTTTAAGATTTAAATTTTTGTAATGTTAATTGATCAATATTTATATGTATGTAAATAAAAGCCTATATTAAAATCTGTTCATCATATAAACTTTTTAGAAGACTTGGATTAAACCAATTTCAAAGCTTGAAATAATGATGGCAGTATACAGTATGTGGTAGTTTTGCCAGCTAGTCGTCATGAAATCAAAAATGACCCTACTTACTTTTTTAGTGCACATTACTAGTCTTCTGGTGAACAATTGAACCATGCAAGTCAATACACAGACAAAAATTGTCTGCCGTCGCTTCCGCTCTGGAATGGCATTCTCGCTCTGATGAAACTGACGGCTTGGGGAGTATCCTCTTGTTATGTTATGATGACGTAAGGACTGCTGTTTCCGGGTCCATGCCTCTACTTATTTCACTTGAGAATACTATACGCACGATTGAATTAATATTACATATTTAAGCTAAGCATTTAAAAATTTGCTGTGCACACTACAGTGTCCGTGCTCACAGTGTCTCAGACACGAATATTTTAGCTGAATCACTGTCAGGCCTTCTGGGATTTCGGTATGGAGATAAAGGTTAGGGTTATAATTTTTCAG